ACCAGTTTATGGTTAAACGGAATTAGGAGAGATGGGTAATTATAGGTGGTTTATTGGAGCTTTACAAATTCATCTTTTAAGGTAAATCAGATAAAAATTAACAAAGGTATTCGAAAATAAGACTAGTTTAAGTGAGATCCATGAAAAACTCCTAACAAAATTTATTTAAATAAGAAGGCTATATTCTTGAGTCTGTTCATCTTGCAATCGAGAATGTGGCGCCTGAGTTCATTTCTCAGAATTGAAGAAAACTACATTTGCTTGCTTGACTTTGGCCAAAATATTTATTATCTGTGAAAAGGATTATATCTGGTGTCCTACAACATTTTGTCCTTTAGAGCCTGTTTCTGATCAATTTCAGCTCCTCGTTCTTGAGTCATAACTAAGGACATAACACAGGCCGTTTAACACATGCCCGAGGTCCTTGTCTTGAAACACGCCATGACACGGGGATCCATATTACTTCGCATGATGTTGTGTGCAGTTACGCATCTGGCGCAGTAAAACAAACAACAATGAAAACAAAAACGTGAGAACTTTCGGAATATTTCTGCTCGCAATTTCCACACGTTACATACCAGTACATTAATCAAACCGTTTTGGTAAAAACTCGTCGGCAGATCTTTCAGATCGCCTCTTCTCGGCATAAACTTTGCTAGTGGTGCTTAGCATTTCAGACATTTGATTGTTCTGTCCTGCCCTATCTTGCTCTGTGTCATTGTTGTAAGCAGGTTAGGCAGAAACTGTGTTAACACGAAGGCTGTTTTGGATAGGTGAAGATGTTGAAGCATGCAGAACAGGAAACTTCCTCACGAAAATTACGCAGCAACGTTTGGAATTCCATTTCGTTTCCTTTTGAAATGTACTTGGAAAACGATAGTTGTTCTCTGTTTTCTTGGAAAAACCACCGCGCGTAAATGGGCTCCACAAATTTGGGAAGGCCTGACTATTTTCGACCTCGCTTAAGCCGCTTACAGAGGCTTACAGCAGTTTAGACACGAATGGTAAATAATGAGAAAATTTTTATTGTAAGTCCTAGATGAAAATAACATTCTGAGGTAAAACTGAAGCAAAAAAGCAAATTTTTGGGTTTTCAGACCTTCATTCCGTTAGATGCACTTTTTTTAAAAACTTTTTCTGGGAAAACCCACCGCGTGTAAACTGGGAACTATATATCTTGGAACGCCTGACTGTTTTCGCCCCTACGTGTATGTTTTGCAGTGGTTAATCCACGCGAGGCGTAAAGAAACGGAGAATTTCTCGTGAGTCTTTGCAAAAAAAAATGTTTTAAACGCAAATAATGGCAGCAGATAAGCGACTTGCTACAATTTCAGGCCATCTTCAGCCAAGGTTGTCTCACGGGGAAAAATATCGGCAATCTCTTTTGGACAATTTACGACAGGCAAGTATCTTTTAACTACATGGGTAAAATTTCCGCACAGCCCCATACTATTGTAAAACAATTCTGTTTTCCCAATGGTAATGTATTGTTTTTGTCATTGTTTTCTCTATCCAAGAACTGAATGCATAATGTAGGATGGGGCTGTGCGGAAATTTTACCTATCTGTTAATTGGGGTCGAAGAAAATTTTTTTAAAATTTCGATTCGATTTCGATTCAATGAGCAACCTTGTTAGGTCGTCATTCGACGTTTACTGCCGTTAGATATCCAATCCACGATGGAGGTAAGGAGACCAGTTTCAATAAGATCGTGGCGATCTATATAATCGTATGGTTATGGTCAAGCGAAAAATGTTTAGAAGCACTTTTCTTACTACTGGTTGAACAAGGAGATACATCATATTATCGATAGTGTAATGAAGCTATACAGTCGCAGTTCTTGAGCTAAATCGGATGAAACTTTACCAAAAAATTCATAAAATAACAAAAAGCTATTCGTGGAAAAAGGGTTAAGTTTCTAAGGAAGCTGTGGTTCTGGGCTGGCAGGGGTCAGTATAGCAAGGTTATTTGGTTTTATAAACTGAATTGATAATATCAATTGGCTACTGCAAAGAGCCTCTAAAGCAGATATTTTGCATGTTAGCCCTTCATCAGAACAAAACCTTTTTGCCCTTGTTTGCCTGTCACTCTGACGAAGGGCTAAGGCATGAAACATCAGCTTTAGCAACTCTTTACAGTGACCACTTTACACTATCATCTTGGTTGATAAAACAAAGCTATTCTTGATTCTACTTACTTTGCAAATAGGATGTGATATCTTTGATTAGTTCTCAACCAAAAAATTTAGGTATGGGGCTCTGGCAAGACTCTTTAAAATTTGTGATCAAGATTACTACTGAGGACCTAAAACATATCAAAAATTTGAGCTGTCTCTGATTAAGGAGTGTGTCTCAACTGGTGAGCACTACTTCCTCACATTAGGTGACATCCAGGAGAAAAGTTTTTACAGCATACCTCCCACTTGTTTGACAGTTAGCTTAGGAGTAAATTATGAAAAACTGGAGAAGGGCACTCTGATAAGTTCGGTGCATGTTGTGTAAAAAGTTATGAGCCACCGGTAATTTTTGCATGAGGATCAGTTG